GGTGGGTAAAAGGTTTGAGAGGAGTAGGTGGATGACGGGAGGACGGCAAGATGGCAGAATTATTTCGTAAATGGTTGCTTGGATTGGTTGGTTGGTTGGTTCGGTGGTGCCTTGTTGTGCATGAGTGGATGAGTGGGGAGATGTGCCGACGACCGATATGTGAATAGATGTGTGTATGGGTGGGCAAACCGGCGGGCGGGCGAGAGAATGTCGTGATAATTTACGGATGATTGCGAGGACAGGATGGTTGGGAAGATGGATGGGCGGGTGGGTGTGGGGGTCAACGGGTGAGTGAGTGAACAGAAAACCTCCGCGTGGCTAAACGCCTGTCACCTTGCCCAGAAGCAGAGGGTGGTCTGGGTTCTGGGATTCGAGTTAATTGTCCTTCGCTGGGGAAACCAGTGCCAATTAGGCAAATAGACCCAGTCCCAGCAGGTCCTGCGGCAGGCTCACTAATTGACTCCAACCTGACAGACCCGGCTTGGACTTAGCGCGGCCTGTGTCTTATTGATTTGTAATTTACACTCCACTCACATCCAGAAGGATTTGAGGTGACTTATATGATTAAACCCACATGAACTAGGACATTTAGAAATTAAGTGAGACCGTGAAGAGGCCACAGAGCAGAGTGGTTAAAAGTACCTGGTTCACCTCCCAGTGTTGCGCTTCCTGGAAGGCTGTGTGATCTGGGGCAGGGTGCTTAACCTCTCTGAAGCTTTATTTCCCCTCATCCACAGAGAGGAAGGAAGGCAGAGAGGTGGGGCCAGAAGGTGTGCAGATGATAGATAGAGACTGAAGTGGGATGCCGGGCCAATGGGTGGGCGGGAAGGAGAATGGGTGGAGGTGATTGGCTGAGAGGAATGATAGACAGATGGTGAGTGTGTAAGTGGGATGGGTGGATGGGCAAACGGGGACCATAATAACTCATCTCATAGGAGACGTGAGCATCAAAAGAAGTAATGTATGTGACAGCTCGGCACAGCGGTTGGCACAAAGTAAGCGCTTTGAATTATAGCCAGCCCTCCGTCTCCACGGGTCTCACCTCCGTGGATTCCGCCAACCAGGAATCAAAAATAATTTTAAAAAATTACATCCGAGCTAGCGGAACATGCCCGGGCCTGTTTTTTCTCGTCAGAGTTCCCTGAACAATGCAGCATGATAATATTTACATAGCGTCTACGTGGGGCTGGCTGTTACACGGAATCCAGGCGCGGTCTAGAGTATACAGGAGAATCTCCAAGGTTTTCTGCGAATCCTGTGTCACGTTCCGTCAGGGGCTTGGATCTGTGGGGTCCTGGGACCCAGCCCCCTGGGAACCCAGGGACAGCTGTCACGCCTTTTGATAGGTGACCTTTGAGATGGGTCTTGAAGGACGGTGTGAGTGTCCCAGGCAGGTCAGGGGGCTGAGGAACCTCTCAGGGAGCGGGAACAGCACCTTGGGTGCCCGCAGCCTGGTGGCCGCGGGGAGCGTGGAGGATGTCGCAGCGCACCCCGTAAGCACCGGGGCCTGGCTCTGCTGCGTCTTGCTACGTCAAGTCTGAACTTTCTTTTCTCCATAAAAGGACCACAACAGCCAGTCCGCCCTCAGCAGGCCACGTTAAGATCTCACAGGATAAAGCCACAGGACTCAGTGTGATACCGCACGCACACAGTAGGTCTCAGTTTTGCCAGCCGCCGTGATCAGTCACCTCCTGTTAGATAGGAAGGGCGTGTGCGTTCATTTAAGTAAAGGAAACTTAAAAATTGAAACCCGTGGGCGAGTGCTGGCCGCCAGAGGCCCCCTGGTGTGCGGGGGAGACTGGAGGGCCATAGGCTTGGGTTCGATTTCTGACTTGCTGTGTGACCCTGGTCAAGTTGCCCAACCCCTCTGAGCTTCAGCTTCCATAAGAATACAGTGAGCAGGGCGCAGGCGTCCCCGGGGTGGCTGTGAGAGCTGAAGGAGCTCTTCATGTGTCCAGGGCCCTTCCGCCCCCGCCTGCCTTCCTTCCCCTCCCCAGCAGGCCCCGGTGTTCATTTACCGTCCCCCCCCCCAGCAACCCCGTCTCAGACCCCCATCCATCATCCTGTCCTTCGCAGAGGTTAAGTGGGTCCCCAAGCAGCGGATCCAGGCTCTCGAGGCCCCTGCTGCACAATGCTGCCCGCTGTTAGCCAGCGCCCCGCCGGCCCAAGGATTGGGTTTCCGCCGGCGGCCGGCACTGGCGGATGCCCAGAGCAGCGGCCGGCAGCAGGCAGCGGACAGAGCGGAGGAGCCGGCGGCGTCTCCGCCCAGGCGTGAGAAAGCATGGGGCCTCCAGGCAGCGCTGGGCCTGCGGGAGGACAGGAGGGACACGGCTCTGAGCGTCCTGGGCAGCAGGATTTCACATTAGCGGGGTGCCCTCTCCGCCAGCTGCTGCCTGTGGGTGGGTTTCACTGGAACGCCCGCCGCCTTCCGGGACCTGGCCCTCCCTGGCTCCTGGGGCCTTGCCACCCCTGACCCGCCTTGTGGTGGGCCCGGGAGCCAGGCCCTCTCAGAGTCCCATCACGGGTTCAGAGGACACAGGCCCGGGTTCAAATCCCAGCTCTGCTTTTTAGGGCTGTGTGGCATTGGGCAGTCTGCCAGCCTCTCTGGGCTGAGTCTCCTCACCGGTGCAGTCTTGCAGGGTGGGCAGAGCTGCTAGCTCAGAACCTGACGCCCAGGGCGGTCAGGGGTGAGAGCTGAGGTTCCCAGCCGGGTGGCTTCTGGGATCAGCCAAAAAAAGGATCAGATCTGGCCTGGCTCCTTACTGGCCCCAGGGCCTTGTGGGAACCTGCCTCGGTTTCCCCCTCAGTTTGCTGTGGGGCGTCGAGGGGATGACATTGATGGAGGCCCCCCATGGGTGGCTTCCGCCAGGGCCAGCCACTCCCTGGGGCCTTTGCTCGTCCTGTTGCCCCGGTGCCTCCCTGAGTCCTCAAAGCCGTGCTGTGAGCTGCTGGGGCAGGGTTTGCACCCCCATCCCACAGATAAGGAAGTGGAGGCTCAGAGGGGAAGGGACTTTTCCCCAAGCTGGTCCGTGACCTTGAACTTCACCTCCTGGTGGCCAACTGGTGCCTTTTCTTGGAATTTCTGATTTGGACCATGAAAATGCTGCTCTGGGCCCGTCGCAGAGTCTGGGTTAGGCATCTAACCGCCAGGCCTGGGTTCCAGGCCGCTCAGCCCCAGCCCTGACGGGGCAGGCCTCCCCAGCAGGCCCTGCACAGCCTCTGCCACCTGGGTCACATGCCTGGCTATTTGCTATCTGGGCTGCTGTCCTGTCTGCGGGAAAAGACCCCGAGTCAGCTGCCGAGTGCCCAGGTATTTTCAGTGTCCAACCCTCCTCCCCCAGCTGGCCCCCACCTTGAACGTCATTTTCTCTGCGGCTCAAAGGTTCTTAGGACACACCGTGTCACTACCCTCCCCTGGAATCCTCCATAGCTCCCTGCTGCCTATGGAGCAAGATGCCGGCCCCTCCGCCCCGGGTTTGAGGCTGTCCACGTTCTTGCTGATCCCGGGCCACCCCAGCCTCCCACGAAGGGCTGGGAGCTCCTGGAGGCAGAGACCCTGGTATCCGTCTGCATCCCGGGCCTGGCGCACCCTGGGGGGAGTAGGTGTCCACTGGATGACCGTGACTTTGCCAGAGGGGGAGACGTCAAGGACAGCCACAGGGGAGAAGGGAGGAGGCTCTGAGCTCCATTTTGGAAGAGAAGCAGGAAGGGCCGCGCATTCCAGGGAGAACATTCTGGAAGTGTCCCGTCCCTGAGGCCCAGGAAGCACAGTGCCTTCTGCAGGCAGAAGGGAGGTCAGGATGGCTGGACCCTCGGGGCGTGGAAGAGAGGGGCCAGGAGGTGAGTGCTGGTCCAGGTGGCAGGGCCTTGGACACCGGGAGCCAGGACTCGGTCCTGCAGACTTGGGTGTTAGGATCAGTGGCGCTAGGACCGGACGCGGGCCTCGGGAACGTCACCCAGCTCCATGCGCGGGGCCGAGGCGCCTACTGTGCGCCAGGCCCAGGGCTGAGGACACGGTGGTGAGCAGGCAGCACGACGTCACCCAGCATGAGGCCCCAGGTCTGCAGTGCTCGCCCACAGGACGTCACTTAGTTCTCACAGGGACCCGTTTAGCAGATGACACCGGCCTGCTTACCCTCCAGAAAGTGCCAGGCCAGGGACAGGGCCCAGGCCGTCTGCCCGGGACCTCCCGGAGGAGAGAACACGCTGGCACCCAGAGGCCCCACGCCCTGGTTTGCCTGGTCTGTGTTTCAGTCCGTGGCTGCAGCGACGTCAAACTGTGGGAGAAGGCAGAGGGAGGTTCACCGCCGGGCTCTGCCCTGGGCCCCCGCGAGGGTCGCCTTCGCTCTCTGACCTCAGTTTCCTCATCTGTAAAATGGGGTTCTTAACAGCACAGGCCACGGGCCCACCTGGGCCTGGAGCAGCACTGAGAGTCGTGGCCAAGGCCTGCCACACCTCGGTGCCTCCTGAAAGTCCCCTCCTCACCCCCCCCACGATCACAGATTTATTCGCCCCGACAGATAGTGTCCTTGGCCCTGGCGCGGGATGGCTCGAGAGGGGGTCAGACAGAGCCGACGGGGGCAGGCTAGGGAGCAGGGGGCAGCCATCTGCCCCAGACGGAGAGCAGGGGGCCCCCACGCAGCCACCTCGTCGGCCTAGCACTAACGACTTCAGTGTGTCTCCCCTTTTAGCTCAAATATTTCTGAAATGCACACTGCTCCTTCACACGTAGCCGGAGGGCCGGGGCCGCCCCAGCCGGGCGTCAGGGCCTCCTGATTACTTTCTTCTGTGCGGTCTCCAGGAAGGAGAGGGGCGCCGCACCGCGGGGCCAGGGCCAAGACCGCGCGCGGGGCCCACAGCCTGGCTTCTCCCTGAGGAACGGAGGCCCGGCCCGGCCTCTGCCGGATGCTGACGTCTGGTGCCTCACCGTCCCCTGCTGGGCATTGGGTGGTGTCTGTAAGAGGGACTTCCTGCAGCTGGGAGCTGGGAGCTGGGTGTCAGCAGGACTGGGGGGGGGGCGGGCGCAGGGGCCAGGGAAAGAGGCGCCGGCAGGGTGGGCCGGTTAGGGCTAGTGGGCGGCAGGGAGGAGGCAGGGCGTCCCCTCCTCCAGGAAGCCCTCCGCACCCCGGCCTCTCCTCCTTGCCGCTGCTCGGTTTCCACGCCCCCCAGTACACCCCGCACATCCCCACGGTGGTCTCTGTCACGTCCGAGTGGCAATTAATTATCTGAGTAACAGTGGCTTCCCTGCATGAGGGATTCACTGTCACCGTGGGGATGGGGACGGGGACATCTCCACCACTTCAGAGGCAGCTTGATGAACCCGGCCACCCCCGAGCCCGGGCCGCGAGGAGACGCCGTGTCGTCTGTGGGCGAGGCCCGTGGTAACAGTCCTGGTTCACTCTCCTTCTTTCTTCGGCTGGTGACTCTGGCCTTCCATTTCCCGTAGACGGTCACTTTCTTCCTTTTTAAAATGTGCTTAAAAAGAAAGAGGGAAAAATAGTCGGAAGAAAAATAGTAAGTGGACCACGGTCCAGGGGTAGGTGAGAGGGCCCCGTCCTGCCGTCCACAGGAGGCTAGGGGCTGGGAGTCCAAGCCCCATGGATAGGAGCAGGGGCCTACTATGTACCAAGCCCTGAGCTGTTCGGGGACCCCAGCACCTGCCCTTCAGGGTCACAGACACCATTGGAAGAGAACAGTGGCCGTGGACAGTTGCCACCCAGGTCACCTGAAGTTTTGAGGGCCCCCTGAAGCACCAGTGGCTGCAGGGCTTAGGGCTGGGGTGGATCCCAGAGGACTTCCTGGTGGAGGTGACCTGAGTTGGCCCTTCACAGATGAAGAGTGTCGGGGCAGAGGGGAGGGGGTCAGAGGAACAGCGCACGTGGGGCTGGCCAGAGGGCCCCCACAGCGCAGGCACCTGGAGGACGGCTTGCAGACGGAATGGGTGGTGCCCTTGGGCAGTTCCCCAGCTTAGGCAGGGCCGTTTCTCCATCTGTGAAATGGGACCGTAGCAGGCAGCTCTCAGCATTGCTGTGCACACGTCGGCGAGTTTCTGGCTCTTGATGGGGTGTCGGTGGCTGTGAGGTCCCTCCCTCTGCAGATTTTTGGAACTGGAGGGAGACGCCTGGTGTTTCGGGAGGAGGAAATGCTGAGAACCGGGGCGGCTCGGCTTCCCACCTAGTTCCTGGGCGAGATCAGCTCCAGATTCCCCGCGGGATGGAGGGGTTTGGCTTGAGCCTGGTTCCAGAAGAACAAAGAAGAAACTTGGGGCGTCTCCGGCGAGCAGCTCAGAGGCCGGGGCGGCCCCTCCTCGCAGCCTGTGGCCGCCGTGCGGAGGCTGATGTTTGTCAGATGTTGGCCGCGGCCTGGGGCCGGGAGGCCAGGCAGGCTGGGCCAGGGACCCTGGGACCTGCTTCGCTTTCAGGGCCCACTTAATGAGCGCGAAGGAGGTGGCGTGTGGGCAGACACTGGGTGGACCAGAAAGCACTGCGCCCACCTAAAAATAACAACCCACGGCGTGAGGACGAGCTGCCTGTGATGGGCCTGCACACCCGCGCGGGGCCATTTTGCAGGCAGGGGCGCTGGGGCTGAGGAAGCCAAGGCGAGGAAGCGGGAGACGGTGCAGACGGAGCTCCCCTGACCCCGAGGCCCCGTCCAGGCCCCGGCCTCCCTGGCTTTGGCGCAGGCAGAGGGAGCCATCAAGACCGAAGTGTGCGGGGCCAAGGGGACACTGCCCCAGCCCAGCGGTGGTGACACAGAGCCAGGGCTCTAGTTGCACAGACTTCACAGGCCCTTCCTGCTGGTGACCCAGGGGTCTGTCCCTCTGAGCATCTCCCGTGTCCCTCCCGCCTGTGTGTGGGGGCCAGGGATTCTGGGGAGCCCAGGCTTGGGCCTGACTTTTAGCGGGCGTCTCCGGCCGGTCACTTGCTCCCCCTGGGCCTGAGTTTCCATCTCAGAATGAGGCCGTCCGTTCCCAGCCCTCCTCCTCTGGGCCACGGAAACTTCTCGCGCTCTTGCACTGGGTCAGCCCAGGAATCCCGCCAAGGGGTGTGGGCCACCTGCTCGGGGGCTGGCCTCCACCCCCCCCACGGCCCCTTTCGGTCGGTCCCAGGCGGAGTCTCCTCTCCCTGCTCCGCGCGGCTCCCAGCAGCTGTTCCTCGGGCCCAGGCCCAGAGCCCGGCTTGGCGCGTCTCTGGCTGAGGCTCTGGCTGAGGCCGATGAGAGAAAACAGGTTAAAAGTTCAGCCCTTGTTCTCTCCAGGAAGAAAAATCTGTAGCGTTTGGAGTGTGAAAAGAAACCCTTTTTTCCGGCTCCAAAGCTGAATAATGGAACTTCCCTCCAATTTGCCATCAAAAAAATGCCCTTGGCACCGGCTCCACCGTCCCTGGCACCTCCCGCCCCGCCAGCCCCTCCCCACGGTGGCCTCCCGGGCAGAGGGACACAGTGGCCACCAACAGAACCACAGGTGGCCCTGGGGACGCCTCTGCGTCCTGTCTTGTCAGCTTAGGGGTCTGACTGGGGCCACTCTAGCCTGATGCCTCCGCCCCCCCATCCTCGGTTCCCAGCGGTGACAGAGTTCACACCCCCGTGACCTCCCACTGAGACCTTCTCAGTGACCTGAACCTGGACACCGTGCCCGGGTCTCCAGGCCCCGGGGCCTCCAGGCCGTCGGACTCATTGTCTTCGGTGCCCGGAAACGTACAGGGTACAGGCCACTTCCCACCCTGCCACCAACTCCCGTGTGATCTTAGGGAAGTCCCTCCCACCCTGTGCCTCAGCTGCCCAGGGCTGGACGGGGCTGGCCTCTCAGATGGTCAGGGTTCCTCTCCTGGGGCACCGCGGTGAGCAGCGCTGTGTGGCCGCAGAGGGCGGGATCGCGCCTGGCACTGGAGCGCGGCAGAGCGTGTGCCTCCTGGCTATGGTCAGCGAGCTGGGGGACATGGAAGGTCCCACTGAGACCTCCTCCGTCTCTCTGCTTACTGTCCCGGAGCCTTTTCATTCAGGCCTCATGGCCACTACCAGGCTGGGCGCCGCTCCCTCCTGGGGTTGGCCTTTAGCGGGTTTCCCTCTGGGGGTGCCCGGCACGGTGCCTGGCACCTGGGCTTTGGGGATCTAGTTGTTGAGTGAATGCTTGAAAGGGGTCGATTTAAATCCGTTCGATTCAATTCAAAAAGTGTTCTGAGGGCTGCGGGTGAGCTCAGGGGCAGAGCGCTGCCCAGCACAGGAGGCCCTGGGTTCCCGAGGCCTGAGGAGGTAGCATCCCAGGTCCTGGAGCGGCAGCGGGCTTCCCTGTGAGGGGGCGTGGGCCAGAGAGTGAGGGGGGGCACAGGAGGGGCCAGTGCATTTTTGAGAATTTGAAGATGCAAGCCGAAAAGTGCACAGACACCCAAATCTGGCGTCAGAGTGAAAGGCTGAGGTGTTGGATTCCCGGGAACCCATCCAGGAGACCCCGTCCCGACTCTTGCCTGCCCGGGTCCACCGAAATGAGGGAAGGACAGACCTCGTTAGCCGTGATCGGCCGCGGGGATGGGGAGGAGGCTGACCATTAAGTTGCTCCTAGAGGCGCAGAACCTTAGAGGGGATGATTGGCCAGGCGTGGGAGGAGGTGGGTCCATGGGGGAGGAGATGGGTCCCAAGGGAGGGCTGTCCGCTGACGGGGGCAGTGGAAGTGGGCGGGGCTCTGTAAGGAAGGGAGGAGTCTTAGACCCCCCCATAGAGTGAGGGACCTTGCTGGGGGGCGGGGCAGGGCCATGACTCCTTGCTCTCCCCACAGAAACGCTGATGGACTCCACTACGGCGACGGCAGAGCTGGGCTGGATGGTGCATCCCCCATCAGGGGTGAGTCCGTGGTCCCCAAACCCTGCTGGGTCCCCCCATGCTGTCTCGGGCTCGGTGGCAGGACCTGAGTGCCCCTTCACATTCCAGCCCCTCTCCCCTCTTCAGGGCCCAGAGCCAGGCTGCTCCTGTCCCACCCTCCCAATCCCCTACCATTGATGGAGCGCCCGTTACCATGGCAACCGGCTGGATGCGTTCAGCCTTTATCCCACGGAATCCTCCAGGCGAGGCTGAGAAGTAGATACTCCCACAACCCCCACTTCAGATGAGAAAAGTGAGCTCTCCCTGCCCAAGGACGCTCTGTGTCGCGAGGCGTCGGGCACCTGTGCACACGTCACCTCCAGTCCCTTTTAGCTGAAGCTCAGAGCCACCTGCCCAGGACGCTGCGGCTAACAAGTGCAGGGGCTCGGGTTTGTTTTATTTGGTGCTGGGGATGGAACCCAGGGCCCGGGCTTGCTGGGCACACACTCCACGCTGAGCTGCACCCCGGGGCTCAGGTTTGTATCCAGGGCTGTGACCCGTCTCTCTCTGGCCCCTGCCCGGGTCCCCGTCACACCAGGACTCTCCAGTTCTGGGCATCGTGTTTCCTTGGGTGGAGCCTGTGCCTGTGCCGTGAGGCTCCCGGGGGCAGGATCTGCAGTTCTTTCTCCCCAGCACCTGCGTGCGCAGAGGGAGAAGCTAGGGGGTCAGACACTCCCAAGACGCTGTCCCGGTGCCACCTGCCAGGTCTGAGCTTTGGTTTCCTCATCTCTGAAGTGGTCCTAATGATGCCGTGGTGAGATTTTCCTGCAAAGTGTCTAACACAGAGCTGGGCCTAGGTTGGTCCCCGAGAGAGAGAGTGGCTGTACTAATTATCACCGTCGTCATTGTCATCTCCTCCATTTTAATATTCATTTCCCCTCCCCTGGTTTCTGGGGGAGGACCCCCGGAGGCCACAGCCCAGCCCTGCCCTCCCCCCACCCCCCAGGGACTCAGTGCGGCCCCAGGGAACTGTCCCCCCTCTACCCCCAGGCCCGCGCTCTCAATAGGCAGGGCCCCAGGGTCAGGCCTCTTTCTGTGGCTCTTTCTTGTCACCAATTTTCCATCTGCGAAGGCCGCTGGGCCCGGCGGCCCCACCCTGCCAGTAATGAGGCCAGGCTGGGCTGCAGGGCCCCCGGACGCAATTATTTGGGGTGTTTGGGCTGTAGGGCCTCCGCATGTT